ATATCAAATATGCAGTATTCAAGTAGCAGCAACAGTTTCGCTGCAATAGCAAAATTATTTTTTTTCGTGCGTATTATTGAAAGTCTATAATTATAAAATAATGTGTGGTGTAAAAATAATAAACAAAAAGTAAACATAAAAATAAAGAATGTTTACTTTTTGTTTATTATTTTTACACCACACATTATTTTATAATTATAGACTTTCAATAATACGCACGAAAAAAAATAATTTTGCTATTGCAGCGAAACTGTTGCTGCTACTTGATTACTGCATATTTGATATTAACTTGATGACGATACGAAAATTTCTTCATTATACATTATTAAAATTATTCACCAATACAGCAGAACGTTTAATAGAACAGAAATTATTTTATATCTTTAGCTAAATATTTCGCTCAATAATTTTTCAATAAAATTAGTGTTCTTAACACATAGTTGTCCATAGAAGAGAAAATAACTTTATCATAAAATAACAGACAAAATTTACTTAAGTTTACATAAGATATATTGTGTTAGCAAATTATTTTTCTCGTGTGATGTCTGTAAGTGGAACAAGTTTTCGACTTGCCTGCAACATCCCTGAGATCTAAGCAGCTGCCCTCTTGTGCCGTTCAGTGAACTAAAGTTGCAGTCGGTAATCCATCTCTCATGGTAAAAGGGCCCGCGCAGCAGCTAAGACCCACCCTGTATACATATATTGTAGATGAGCGAAGTCAACAAGAACTTTCTATCAGGTATTTTCTTGTAACAACTGAAGAATTGTGCACATTATCTCATATTTAATATTTTCAAATAAGATTTCTCACCCAAATAAGAAAAAGACATAGTTATGAAGAGAATGAAAAGAATAATATGTTGATTCCTGTTTAAGATTTTTTTACTAAGAGCTAACCATGGAAATTTGTATTGGCTCATTCTGTGTATACGTGTGTGTATGCATGTAATATTTTATATGTATATAAATAAATGCACATTCTTGTTTATTATCGATTTAAACAGTATTCGTTCCATGTAGTTTTTTTTTACGCAGTTGGAAATCGCATGAATAAAGTTTATCAATTTAAAAAAAGATGTAAGAAAAAGCCCATGTGTATCACAAAAATACCTATTTTGCATATTTGCACAAAAACAATAACAGAAGTTGAGGGAAACAAATTTGAAATATTATTCATTGTCGCTGTACTTAAAAGCAATCAACTCACTGGTTATACAAAGTCGTTATTTGCATAATAACAGAGAAACTAATGAAGATTATTAATGAAGGAATTAATAAAGGAAGGAAGAATGGACTAAAGGAACAATCACCTGATTAAGCAAAAGAATAATTAATGTTTGCTAATAATTTCAATTTGACATATGAGTAAATATGGAGATGTTACATATGAAACATGAAATATTTATACACGCAAAAGGACACTAGGCTTGATAAATATCTTGTAAATAATTATACGATAATAGTGTGTTGTGTGAGCTATACGAGCAATGTTGTAACGCAGAGTGCTTGTATATTGGTATGAATGTCTGATATAAGTGATTTATCAAATAATTAATTGATTTATCCCGAAAATATGAGATGGAAGTTGAAAATGTAATTAGTATGAATTATTATGTATGAACTTAATATGAATTCCGTTTTCTAATAACTTGCATCGTCTTATTTTATTTGTACTTTTGTTACATCGCATATAATGCCCCTCCCCCTCGCTCCAACGTGAATCTTGTATCTCATTTATAAAACTGTGATTTAAGAATAATTCAGAATACACTTTCGCAGAGAGAGCTAAAGTCTGTTTTAGTATCAGCAAACATTTTGACTCTAGATTTTTTATTTTGCAATTTAACGTCCGACGACTTTCGTAGTTAAATTTTTTCCACTGCAGTTCCAATTGTGCTTGCATATTCGGAATTTCCGGTTCTATATAGAAAAGAGTCTATTTAGAAATGAAAATTGTCTGAAATTATATAATATATATATGAATACTAGTGCATATTTTACGCACGTTACACGAAGAATTTTTCTCTCTTTAGGATTAGGGCCCAAATTGTTGCATGGTTTGAAACTTTTTGATGATTTTATCAGTGCTCTTGTTACGATTAGCCATGGATTTCGATATGCACATCTTTGAATCGTCTCGGGTATAATCCAGTTTTGCGGCAACACTATTTCTTTATGATGATAATCTGATTGCGGTGGAAAGTATTCATTTGGAATGATACAATATTGTGATATTAAATAAGTAAACAAAGCTAAACAATATTGTTCATAATGTCCCAGGTTTTCAAAAATATAAATATTATTTTAACAACGTAATGCAACTATATTGTATACATTTAATGATATAATTATATTATAAGTAACGAACCCTTTTGAAATTCCTTTGAGTAATCTAGTTGATACGTGGTCTTCATTGATTTCATCTTCTCGCGTACTATTACGTTGTCATCTGGCACGATTTCCGGTAGAGTATTTTTTAAATGGGGAAATTTGTCGCGTATCTGTATTTTTGATGAGGTACACACAATTACAATGATATATGATGACGATTATAAAAAGATTTATATTTTTACTCTATTTAAATTGTCTACTGGATCTTCGCTTCGTTCATTCTCAGGTAGAGATTGATTTTCCAATTGCGTGTTCAAATATTGTTTGTACGGTCTGTTCAAGACGTTCGAGGATGATGTATATTTTGGTAATAATTTGTACTTGTAAGTCCTTTTATATTTCTTTTCGAGATAATCTTTCTTGTAGACTGTCACGAAATCTCGTGAGTCTTCAATATCGTCGATCACATCCATCACGTTAAGTCGAGCAATTCATTTTGTACAGAGATTTGGCAGGCAATTAATTTTATAGAAAACTTTGTAAATGTTATTAGCGGAATTATTGGCTGTGTTTAACAAAGATAATAGTCGTGTAATTGCTGAAATGTATAAACGTGTTTGGTTATTAGTATGGAATTCAACAAAACTTCAGGTATCACAAAACGGCTGATTTTTGCTGAATATATCTATTCGCAACGACATTATATCGTAACGATATTTCTATTTATCGCAATGGCATTTTCTCGACGTAAACATGAAAAGATTGCTGAGAAAAAAAAACGATCAACATTTAATTTTATTTCAAAGTTTCAAAGATGTCTCTTTCAGATATCTTGTTAAAAAATTGTCTAAAAATTATATTTTCAAGACTTTTTGAAAAGATGCCTGAACATGATCTTTTATAAGACTTTTTTGTACTATTAATCATCTACATTATCGACTACAACATTGATTATTTTGATGAGAACGTATTAAAAATGTTTGCTTAAAACCTAGTACTCTGATATTTCTTATTCAATGTTATAATGATACAATTGAAATCTTTTCGGAAATTAGCAAAAGGAATACAAGATAGGAACTAGAATCAATTATTGATTAAAACAAAACTTATAAAGGATTTAAGAGGATCCCCCAAGGTCGAGGCCTTTGATGGTGTGCGCC